TTAGGGTATGTTTGCCATGTACATCCTCCGAAGACGTTTAAATACAGCTTATTCTGACCTTCGCAGGTCTCCTCGGTCATGAGCGCTAGAACAGTCGGAGACCTGCGTAGTGCTGAGGCTAAAGGATATTCTACAGGCGGGTAGTTCTCTGATTGTCTTTCATGCTTGAGTTGAACACGTTCTTCCTCAGCGGTCTGCTTGGCTTCATATGCGTATCACTTTGGTATGTAGTTTGAGAAATGCAGTTGGATAGCGCATTGATGTGAATTACTTTCAGTATGGACGATCCCGTCTGAGGTGAGGTGACTAAGTAAGACACTGCCAATGACAGATGACTGATACTCATCCACCGACTGGTCTGTAAAGGTGCAGATGATATGGGTACTCCTGGGCCAGCTTCCATGCCATCGTCGTTCTCATTCACGCATTCTGCAGTCAGCTCCTTGGACATATATGAAGATATCATATTTGGCCGTAGGTTGACAGAGCATAGTGATTCGATTATATATGATCAGTTCCTTTCAGAATCGATATCTCGGCTTATTTGTGGTTGTGATGATGTCCGCCGGTAAGTGGCCGTGCGCTGTTTTAGGAATGTGGGTACTGATATGCTGACTGTTCCCAGGTATGATAGACAATCCATTGTAAGTTACGAATTTACACTGCCGTAGTGCTTTATTGACATGCTTGTAGGCTATGTAAGTCAGGTTGATCCTCTTCTGGCGTTCGCAACTACATGGGTACTGACGGCAGTGATGCATAGGTACCCTGTTCCTGCGTGCCGTGGGTTACCTAGGCAAGTCACGACCTGTTGAACAGAGATAAAGCAATAATGGCGTGGTTAGCTCTCATACTTGTCATGATTGTCGAAGGTGACTTACCGCCATTCCTTCCGTCTTTCTCTTTCGGTGTTGACCAATTTCTAAGTCATCCTACAAATCCGGTTACATGCGCTCTACGGTCACAGTGAGCATTTAGTAGCCACCAGTAAGAACATCACTCATTTTTCCCGCATGTATCAGAGCGCAGTCTGGTTGTCGTCGTAACTGTCGCATATCTGATGACAATAGCCAGTACCATTGCCTTGGCCGTCCTGACGCGAATGGGGGTCGGAATCCACGAAATGAAGTCTGACGTGAAGGACAGTGGAACATGTAGTCTGGGACTTGATTTCCCTCTGTGAGTCTCAATGTAAGCCGGTTCTTTGCTCATTGCCTTACACGCCCAGTCTACCGACTTTCGTATTTGACGCGTGCATTGTGGCTGTCCTCACGTACAAGGTCATACAGCATGCGCGGTTCAGGTCAAGGATGCATGTTCCGGCTTACTGGGGCCACGGAGGCAGGATATTGGCCATACTGACAAGAGACTCAGCCTGGTATTATATTTGGTAAGCGGAGCGATTTTGCGCTCGCCGATTCAGCTTAATACGTTACCATTGACATACCACCTGAAGCGTCCTGGTGACGATGAGCCTCCGGGGACTGGGAAGTACGCTCTCTCCGCCGATTGAAGAGAATATGTCAATTGTCTGGGCGTTTGCCGTCCCGACGGTGTCGGCGACAAGCATGATACTGAACGTGCGCGTTGCCTCGGCGAACGCTAAGGAGCAGCTGTGGCAAGATACCGAAGTGAAGCATGGGGACGTTGTGGAGTTGAATGTGATCAATAGCCCATTCCGCGAACATTTTAATGCCAGCGCGATCAAACACTCTTTGGAAGCAGGGGATGCGATCTAGAGTGCATTGTGAGTGCAATTTTTCGACCATCCGCATCCGCATTAATCCTTGATTCATTGGTTTACTGATGGAAGGTGGATTTAGTTGTCCTATCTACACAATTGTTGGCCCGTGCCATTGGTTGACCATCCCTTGCGTTATCATGGCCTTCAGTCGTGTGGTTACCCGTAAGGGACAGCAATCATGAATAGCGTTATGACGATGGCCAGAATAGCTGTGTCTGAGCATCGTACTACAACCAGCACGGTGCAGGAGGAATTAGCATCGCCTAGAAGAGCATGGCTGTACGTCCAACTGGGAATTGCTGTATTCTATGTCCTATCGCTCGATCACGGCCCAGGATTTATTGACTGATATTGATCCTCCGAATCTCGCGGCACTCAAGGTCTTGACAGAATCCGAATCTAGAGAGGCAACGGATATGCTAATATGGTGGGATGCGACTCTATGCCGAAGGCATCCTATTATCAATGTTGGGCGGTCCTTGGGTTCCAGGACATGAAGTGGAAATGGTGACAGCTCCTACCTAAGATCCGGCATCCATCGAAAGTGCGGATGATTCGGTCTTTACCTTGTGCCGCTGCCTGCTGGCGGCGACTGTCCGGGGCCCGCCTCGTGCGTGACTTGGCTCCATCAATCAAGACTGTATGGTCCCTATCTCTATGGTGCGAGTGCCTGACACTGATTCAAAAGTTGGTGGTCCCTCCGCCCGTATCGCCTTCAGTATTGCATTTGCCACTTTCGCTGAGCGGCCAAAACGATGTAGTCGCACGCAGTCTCCGACCACCATGGCCTGACCGTGGCCTCGGACTTGATCGCCGGCTCTCCTTATAAACCTTGCCTATGCCGTTAACGCATGCACTCCATATAATCCTTGGATATGTCCGCGACGTACACTCATGTCTGACCAGGTCATTCCTTTACCACTCCCTGAGTTCTACGCTGTCCGAGCTGGAGGTTATTCATGCAGTGGGTGCCTTGGTGGTAGAAACGCATGCCCACAATGACTTTGCCTGATCCAGCCGCCAGCTTGACCTTCTATCTATGCCACTTGAGTGAGCTATCTAATTGTGATTACCGGTGTAAATGACTTCTCTATCCAATAAACAGTTTCCACTATTCCACTCGAGGTAGATATGGGTAGACAAATCCTTTGCGAACTACCTGACATTACATGCATCTAGATGGAGTTAATTTGGGTATGTCATGCCGCCTTTTTGGGGGACAAAGAAGTCACCCGTATCCTTCCCGTGTCTCAGGATGCCAGGTGGACCCAGATGAAGGTTCTCTATCTACTGGTCGGTCTTCGTTGCTCACCCGCCAACTACGCTCTGAGTTGTCACGACTACGGAGGATCGCTATCTTGGGTGCATCGTACTGGCATCTACCACTGCCTGTAAGTCCGAACTTGACTATGGACATCAGCACTTCCATTTGGATCTGCTTCACAGTTGTCATGCTCGATCTTGAGTGAGTCTTCAGCTGCGAATGCCGCTACCTATAGGCTGAGATATGCTCTCACCCTATGAGACCGCGTATGTTCTTCTTTGACGACTACGCCCCGTCGTCAGTCAGTTGAGATTACTCTGTAATCCAGATCCTCTTCGTGAGCAAATTACGTCCGGGCTTTTCGGACTCGTTGTGTGGGCAGGTGAGTCGAATGTGGAACATTTGTGTATACCAGCTTGATCAGCGTTATTCAGGTCTCGGGCTGATTACAGTTGTAGAAAGTATGACGCATGTTAGCCCCATGACTTCTTTTTGTTCACGGGCAGCAGTTATATTACAACTCAGGCTACATGCACTCTGCGAACAAAGTGAGTGAAGGCATGGAGTAGCGCGAACGACATCATCAGGAAAACCCTCCTGAGCTAATTATGTCTAATTATGTCTAATCCTGCCTAATCATGCAGGATTAGCTGCATTATGCAGTCGTATCTAATTAGACAAGTTAGGTTTGTCCCCTAGCTAATTAGACATAATTATTGCCCATTAGACAGTATCCTGTCATATTAGACAGCAGTTGTGTTGCAATCACATCATATCATATCCCAGTATACCATGAGGAGTATTCAGATATATATTCACAAATGTAACTACAGACAGGCATGTAACTGCAATCTCTCATCCCTCATCAGCCTACAATATCACTTTCCCCCACAAGCAGGCTAAGGAAAGTTCCCAATGGCCAATCCAGGTAAGAGAAGGCATCAACATAGTACTTGTAAGGGAGATCATTTGGACATCAGAAGACACCTGCAACACACTACAGACCACCTTGAATACAGACCCTAGTCCAAAAAGATATGGGTCACACAGTCAGACCACAGCAACAGCTTGATAATATCAAGTACATACCAATCCCATAAGCTTATGAACTTCTCACAAAACTGCAAGCCGGGCCCCGATTGCATCCACCAGCATAAACCCAGGTGTTTGCGGCTTCACTCCCCTCAAAGGAGCAGTTCACAATCTGCACTACAGCTGGGACCTATACATCAATGTGCTACATG